TAGTAGATTGATGGAAAACGTTTGATTGAATAAGAAGGAAAAGTTATTGATGTGATAGAAAATATTATTTATTAAAGAATGTGTAATTGAAAATGAGTAGAAGAATGAAAATAAAAATTTTAATATTGGTCAAACATGGGCTTAGTTGTCCCCTAATTCTCTCTCAAAGGCGACTCCATGTCGCCTTCCATTATAGCTCCCACCCTAATGCATCAAAATCGTCGCCCAAACTAACGGACCCACCTATTGATTGCTGGTTTCCAATTCGCCTACAACCATGGCCATTGATCTTAGAATGTCCAAGAAAAACCCTAGAGTGGCGTCATCGACGTCTAATTTGGTCGAAGGACAATGACACTAATTTGATTGCGATGGTACTTGGTGACAGTGGTTTGATTATGGAGGTGGATTTGATGTGTGTTGAAGGTAAAGGTGAAGGTGGTGGTAGTGGTGGTGATAGCGGTTTTACCGTGGATGATGGTGGGGGATTTGAGGTGTGTTGAAGGTGAAGATGATGGTGACCTTTGGTTTGAATGTCAATGGTGGTGGTGGATTTGAGGTGACAATGGCAATTTCGGTGTCGATGGTTGTGGTGGAGTGAGGTGGAGTGTTTATGACCGATTAATTGAAAAATTTGCGATCTAATAAAATTTGTGTTTTGCAATTAAATATGTAATTGTAATTTACAAATTGTATTTTTGTGGGTATGATCTTGTGTGATTTGTGGTTAGTATTTGATTGTGACTATAAATTGTGTTATCGTGACCGTGGCCTAATTAATTAAATAATAGGTCACAATATTTTATTAAATGTTACAAAATGTGACTACCTGATTTTGGAAAAAAATTCTACTAGTTTTTTTTTTAAAAAAATGTATTTTGAAACCTTTGAAATTATATGTAATGTTTCCGTATCTTTACTTTAAAAAAATTACAAGAAAAATTATCTCACTTAGCATCTTGAGATCCACCGAAGACATTGGTCACTCGAGTTAAATACATATATAATGCACGAACGTTTTGAGTTAAATAAACCTTAAAGGTGTAATGAAAAACATCTCACTATATTGTTTCACAAACAATGTAATCAAATCATTTCTTAGAAATCTTTACCTGTTTATGCTATAATTATCATCGCCATTAACAAAATATTTCAACATAACATGGCGCATGTGACTCATTGCTATGAGATCAAATGGACTCCTCCTCACCATGCAAATTATAAACTCTAAACCATTAAATTGGAAAAAAATTCATACAAGACTTATCTTCAGAGTGAACTAAAATCTGTCGATGTTACCAGATATTGAAAAACCATTCAATCTCTTGCTGCAATGTTAAATCAAAATCCTGTTGAGTTTAATGGCCAAACTAAAAATGATTTTATTAACAAAAATATTTTCTTTACTAACGCACACCTTGCACTTTCTCTCTTGCATACTCACTCGTTTTGCACTCTTTCAAT